TAGGCTCCCCGCGTCCCTGTTAGCCACTCCGCGCCCCTGTTAGGCACTCCACGTCCTTGTTAGGCACTCCGCCCCCCTGTTAGGCACTCCGCGCCCCTGTTAGGCACTCCGCGCCCCTGTTAGGCACTCCGCGCCCCTGTTAGGCACTCCGCGCCCCTGTTAGGCACTCCACATCCCTGTTAGGCACTCCGCGCCCCTGTTAGGAACTCCGCGCCCCTGTTAGGCACTCCGCCCCCGCCCCTACAAAAATAAAAATTAATTCCCATATTTTGTAAGAAACGTAACGATTACGGCTCCCCCTAAAGATGATGCACAGGGCGGGTGCCCCCCTTGGAACGTTCTTTTATATTTCAATGAAATGTTGATAGCATCGTAGTAAAGTTTGATCCACACATTTATCGTGGTTTATCATTTCATCGGCACACTATAGGTCAATACATAAATATAAACAATCTTAAATGTGATTAACCCTGTAAACGAGAGGGAATGAATTGCACTCTTTGGATACTGCATAATAATTATTATACTGAGTGACATTTGCGCTGCCTTTGTACATTTTTAAACACCAAAATCCTCCACTAGCTTATAAATTTCGTCATTGATATAAATAGAAAGGGATTCCCCTCCATAGACCTAAACGTAAAGTCTAGACATGAATGGACTTGTCGAGCGGCTTCTTGCTTCGCGGAGAGATTCAGCATTCTTGTGTGGGCAGCAGATGTCAGAACGGCAAAGCCAGGAAACCATTGAGTCCATTGCCAAGTTGGGTGGGGGGGGGGGTGCTATTTAGCAGGAGATATTCCAAAAATGTGTGCAAGATTGGCAAACTTGAAACCCTTTATCACGTCCTTACGACGAACTATGGCTCCTTTAACATATCTACACTGAAATGGTCGCCTTTATCTTTTGTGTCTTAAACTAAAGGGAAGAAGAACGATGATCCGGTTTGGGGGTGGGGGGGGGTGGTTGGTTGCACCTTGTGAATGGTCTCTGTAGCACGAGGAAAAATGCAGATGAGGCAAAAAGAGAATTAAGAATGTGCTTTTTTTTTTTTTGGTGTAATAATGAAACGGAACCGACTCGTTTTGAATAGACTGAAAGCGAATGTCCAAAGCCCTGAATTCTGCTAATTAAAGCAGCTTTCAAAGCCAAGTTAAAAAAAATCATAAAAGAAATGCAATCTGTAAGACCACACCGCTTCCTTTTATCACATGGCTACACAACAGCTACCACTCACTTTTTAAAAAAATTCCCAAGATTTCACATGGTTATAAAATATACTAAATAAAGGGAAAAAATAATGAATTAATGCATAAAAGCTTGAATGATTGTCTTAGGAACACAACTAACAGTTATTGATTGGAAATTATTGAATCAGATAATTTTTGACAAGGTTTACCACATCAAATAAATTACACAATTTGCTTTTGAAAAAAAAATATTAAAAAAAATTAATTAAAACGCAAACTATCAAAATACATTGTAGTTAGGGTTTTTAACCTAACCGCCACATGCTCTAGTAAAAATATCCCACGATTGTGTAGCTTAAGTGCATACTTCTGATAATTTCTGTTAGTTACAACTTTTCGGCAAATGTGAATCAATCTTGAATCACATGTCATGATAACGCCATTTTGTTTTTGGTCATTGACAATTTGACTTTCATGCAATGCCATTTTATAAACTTCAAGAAAATGGTCAGCTTGAATGAAACCTGTCAAGCTGATGCCATCTTTGCGCAAACATCCAACAAAAACAACTCACTGTTTGGTGTTTCTTTGTCTACGGGGGTTTTTAATTAAAGAAAATTGACTTATGTTACGTGCAGACCTGTTAGCCTATGTGGCATGGCATGTGTAGACTTGTGATGTGACATGTCATGTGTAGACTTGTGATGTGACATTCACGTTTAGACGTGTGATGTGACATGCCATGTGTAGACTTGTGATGTGACATGTCATGTGTAGACTTGTGATGTGACATGTCATGTGTAGACTTGTGATGTGACATTCACGTTTAGACGTGTGATGTGACATGTCATATGTAAACTTGTGATGTGATATGTCATGCGTCGACTTGTGATGTGACATGCCATGTGTAGACTCGTGATGTGACATGTCATGCGTAGACTTGTGATTTGATATGTCATGCGTAGACTTGTCATATGACATGTCATGTGTAGACTTGTCATGTGACATGTCATGTGTAGACTTCGCACTTTCAAAATTAGTTCATGTTTCATTAATGAGAACCTATTAGCATTTTTCACCGTAAATTTGCCATATGTTCAAAAGGTCGAATCTTGTCTAATGTCCTGCTGTAGCTAATCTTTGTAGCACGATATTTGAGCCGTTGAAAGTTACAATTTTGATTATACCATTTTAATCCTTTAAAAAAAATGTTTTTTGCCAGTTTTGGAAAATGCACGTCCACTTCTTCACTCACCAGATTGTGATGGTTATTGCCAAGCAAGGAACAAGAGTATTTCAGCGCCTATCGTTTTTTTCTTCCTTACAAATTCTGTAATATCAATAGATTAGATATTTGACATTGAAAGAATTAAGATGAGTTTTTAAATCCTTTAAATTAACTTCGCCTTTGTTCTTAGCTCACTGACTAGCTGGCTGACTCGCTGGCTGACTAGCTGGCTAACTAGCTGGCTAACTAGCTGACTGACTAGCTGGCTGACTAGCTGGCTGACTAGCTGGCTAACTAGCTGGCTAACTAGCTGACTGACTAGCTGACTGACTAGCTGGCTGGCTAGCTGGCTGACTAGCTGGCTTCGGGGGGGGGGGCTGACTGGCTGTTCAAATCTTCGG